TGATCTGCCTTTGGTGTAAAGCCATGATTTATTACAAACAAGAAAATAGGATAATAGCCTCCATATGTTCCTGTATTTAACATTCTCGTGGGGGATAGATAGCCTTGTATAGTATTGTCTATAGCATTGTATTGTCTATATTTTCTCCTGAGCGAGAATAAGCCATTCGAATCCTGTATTGTCAACATGGTTAAAGCATTATGGTGATAAAGTTTCAAAGAGTGGGATCGGAGACCAAGGATTTATCAAAATATGATATTGTTGGATTTATTCCTAAGGAAACACATACAACATATTGTGAAAAACTAATATAATCACCACTGAAGTTTACTGAAATGGCGCGAACATGTTTAATTGATTGTGGTCATCCTATTTTCAGATATACTTTTGGGATGTAATAAAGAGTAGACAGATCTATTAAACAATTAACTGTTCACAGAATGCCAATCTCGAAATTCATAACCTCATCAACAATCTTGACACTTCTTGTATATGTGAACAATGTCAGAAAAAACACTTTCGGAAACAAGCACAATCGAAATTGCGATAGACAAGTTTATGGTTTAATTTCAATTTAGACCTTGTCCAACATCACTATCTATGACCTGTAGAAGAATATACTTCTCTTGCTGCACACATTTGGAAAACAAATGTATATGTTGTGTGAGAAAGGTTTCTTCAAACATTTCCCAACCAAACCCTCGTATTTGTGAAATGTTGCTTCAATTGTGTTGGTACTGCCAAAGAAACCTGGCATATGGTACATGGTCCACGACCTAGAAAACTGGAATGGTGTACTCTGGGGGCAATTAGAGAATGAGTAGCAGTGGTGTTTACCATAAATAAGAAGCTGTTGTCAGAACCTCTAGCTGAATCCAGATCTATGTCCAGATTGTACTGATAAAGCTACCGTTCGATGACCCTTCTTGCCTCTTCTTCAATACAGCTGTAGACTGTCGGCTATATAGGTCACATTGACATACTTCAAATACCTATTTCCCTGTGTGATTCGAGTTCTAGGGTAGCCTGTTCAAAGACCTAGTTCTTTTGGATTAATGGGCACTTGTGTTTGGTATCTCTTCTGGTCGTAGCCTGAAGGAAGCAGGCAGTGGTGCACATCAATTCTGTGACCTACTCTGGTCATGATAAACTATTTATCTGTTCCATCTCTACCTGCATCAGAAGGCAACATGAGGATGCTTATCTTCCCTGTTTCTTCTAATTTGACTTCAAATCTTATCACACCTTGTTCGAGAAGCAAAATTCTGCCTAATCTGGACCTGATTTGGACCTCAAGCATTCCACATGTCACCCAAGATATTCTGACGTAGATGGCCGAGAACTCATTTCACAGGACCCCAACTCAACACATGCATAGGTGACACCACACAACTAGTTTGTGATCCTGAACACATGTTTAGATTGATCAACTATTGTTAAAGGTTCTCTGCCTCACATCATTCACCTGATGATGGAGTAAGCATCTACTCTGAAACGTCGTGTTTCTCATAATAAAGAAGTTGACATCCATAAATTCTCTTCCTTATGTGTATCACTTCTAAATGCCTTTCAAAGACTGTTGTGGGTGATTAACATCATGAGCATAGATCCACCTTGCATAAGATGATATGCATCAACAAAGTCACCGAGCCTGTCTACCCAATCCATTTAGCCACCTCTTACGACAAGCATAGCAAATATTCTGAACCGGATTCCTCACAGGTCATTGCTGTAGAATACAGGGACATCTACCTGAACAAATACCCAGTGGTTATGCTTAAACATGTTCTTGTGTTACTTGAAGTTGCCATCTTGAACTGTCTCTATATTAGAACTCTCATAGCATATATACACTGAACACTATGAGCAGGTACACTTGGTCCTGTGCTGACAATAGTATATGTATAAAAAAAATGAGTTACAGTAAGCATTAAGGAAGACGTCTATCTTAACATTGCCTTAATACCATTAATCTCTTCTTCCTTAGGACATGAAAGATTTCTCTTGGTTGAAAGAGCCTTCCACCTTTTTTCCATACACTTCCTAATCTCTTTTCCAGAATGAACGCTTGAAGAGATCACACTTAATAACATCAAAGCCTACGAAGTATTCATATTAATATTCACAGCTATCCCACCTACTGACTGAACCTGTGATTGCTTAATTGCAAACTGTGTTTGATCTCCCCATGCCACCAACATTAAAAAATTAAACAGAAGTACGATTGGAAATAAATCTTTATGATGAAGGCAAGAACTTATCGACACATGCTGTGCTAAAAATCACCAATATGTCTGCACGTCCAATCTTCCCCTTGTTTTCATACATAAATAACATGTTTTTAGGTGGGGTCACGTTAACCTTTAGAAGAATCCTGGAGACTTGCAATCGTAAATTTTGAACATGATTCCATCTTATCTTCCCTAATGCAAAACGGTCTAGGTAGATAGGGGGGCAATCTTGAGACCGCAAGCTGTGTTAATCGACAGTTTGCCAATAATGTGTGCTACAATCTTAAGATCATCAGCTTAATCTGGGCCTTACTTCTCTTTGGATTCACCATGAAGCGTATAAGATAGCATTTCTCGTCGTTCAAACGTATACCTGACAGTAATGGTTGACATTCAAGTTTAAAGTTTCTACACGTGGGTATTTGCCTCAGATACAGTGGGTGAACGCTCGAAGACAGTAAGATGTGATGATGTGGGAGTAATTTGAAACGTGTGAGCGAAAGAAACGATCATATTTCAATCAGCATCTTTGGCAAGACAGAAACATCAAATACACAATATACATTTGTGTAATGCAACACTAGCATCGCCATCCTGTATCAGGAAGAACATACAGCACATTATGAACCAAACCGATGCAGAAGCGCCAGTAACCTCCACAGCAACAGCTCCCATAGTGAATGTATAAGGTGATATCTGCTATAAATAACGTACCTTTTCCTGAACAAGCGTGGCGCGAAAAGTAATCCAACTGGCAAGACGGTAGAGAGACTGTGTGGGTCCCGGTTGTGGAGTCTAGAGGATACTAGAGTCATTACATAACCCGCGTGCGCACGTGCTGTGACGTCATCGTGCCATGCTCATCAGTGATTGACTTCCGGGTGGGCAGGGGGTACATCATTAGAAATGAATTAATATTATTTATCTGTTGGTGGTCTTAGATTTACCGCTATGTGGCCTTGTGGGCTGAGATTGTGATAAAACGTTTCTTTCAGAAATTGATATTAAAAGTTATAAATGTAAAATTAAAGAAATATTGTTTTCTACTGTTATTGGTTCTGTGGCTGACATCATTGTCATCCCTACAATTGCTTTAAGACATAAAGGGTTAATTTCACAAATTTGAAAAAGCGTTCTTCTAAGCGCCCTGAAAGCAGGACTTTCGGAGAATTGCAATAACAATAACAATGGCTTTAAATGACAGCCATGATGGATATATTATTGTTTATTTAACAATATCCCAGATATGTATATCGTATATCTCTTACCATTAGAGGCCTTACATTCTACTCATTCATTTGTTATCCTTGTGTCGAAATAAAAAGTTATATTCTAATCAGAAATAGGGTATCAGGAAAACGCTAGGGGCACTCATAAACTGCAATGTCAGTGGTTTTTCCTAAGATGTCGGTTTCTGTTTGACCTTGAAGGAACAGATCCAACAGGTGCTCGTTATGACGTCACGAGATTCAGATGTCAGGGACGATTATTTTGAACACACTTCTGACTGAATGTATATTTCGATCAACTCTTACTAAAGATATAAATATTCAATAACATGCCGTGTAGGTTGTATCTGTACATAATTAATATCAATATCCAAAATGGAACAAACATTCATAATTTGATCGCTATATTGCTTGTACGTTCATTTTTTATGGCCAAGCTCCATCAAAATATGTATTGAATTGTTTCAGATAAAATGTGTTTAACATAACCAACATTGTAAGTGAATAATGAGAACAAAATAGAGGGACCTTTGTAGATAAGGGCACATCTAAATTGTTTATTTGAAGCATAGGAACACCATGTTAACCCACAAGGGCATCCGTTCGGCACATTCACTACACATGAAAAGACAACAAATAATTTTGAGTGTTGATAAATAGAAATTTTCAAACACCTGTAATATTTTGACGAATCCAATTGGGCAAATATTTATTTCAATTTGTAATGTTATCGTCAACTCGAAGAAGAAAACGGCTGTATAAGAAAGGGAGGAAGGTTGAAAAACATTCTTGAGTGGTTTACCAGTTGTGCAATATATTAATCATTTGAAACTGTCAGTCTTCTGTATTTATGCATTTTTACCTTTCTCTCTCATGCACGAGAAAAGTAAAACATACTTAAGAGCACAATGTTTCCATAACACAGAGATTAACGACCATACGCAAGTAATTAAGTCATTACCCCTGAATAAGTATCTCAATTAATGGCTGTTCGTTGTCTAAAGTTACATGACATCATGTTGAGAGTGCCTATGAGTGAAATATAATCTCAATTTAGCTAACATAACATATAAGAAATATGACACTGTAAGATTATACTTCTGCATCATTGACCTCTTGTTTTGTCTTTTGGAGTCACGGGGGGTGAGAGAATTTGGAAGACATCAGACGGTAAATAAATCTCGTCTGTTACCCAGTATGGGTTCCACGTGGGAGCGTGCCGTGAAGGTCGAGGGGTATATACTGGGCAACGGAGATTTTGTAAGCCATCTGGGCGAATTTTGTTCAGAGAAGACATTTGGTAAAGATTGATAAAGTGTCGTCTGGTTATACTTGTCTGATAGTCGCGTGCCGGCATCCATGCGCACAGCACGGCAACGGAAGGAGTCACGCACAGGGCGCTTCCGGTATGGCTAATAGCAGACGACTTTGGTTAGAGTTTGGTAACAAAACTCTAATTTTGCAAATAATTTTTAATGGAATATATTTTGTTGACCCCACTGGAATACATAATGTGGAAATGTCATGAATAGTCACCTACCTAAAACACGATAGCTGCAATTCCCATAGAACAGAACTTAACAAATCTCCACGTCTTTCGTCGATCAGTCGCGAGTGTCGGCCATAGCCTCCAAAGCAAGAGATATTACAAATATGCAAAAAATCCGTACTGAGTTGGGGAAACCGAATCTCAGCCCCACGCTCGCCATATATGTAACAAGCACTCCTTGCAGCACTGATCAATAAAAAGACAGGGCATAGCACCCCGCTTCCATATAAAGAGAAGGCCTCGGCCAATAGCGAGAGATAACAGCGCTCAAGGAGGAGCAAGCTTATACACACATGTGCAGCGCACTGCTCATCTCTACCGACTAGGGACACGAGGTGTTCCAGGAGAAACAACTCCAGCGCGTTTGAGTTTGGAAAGAACTGCTGACGGACGTAGCGAGACGAGATGGATCGAGCAGACGACACTCTTGCGCTTTGGAAGGATCTGTTTACACTTGCGCGTGTACCGAAACCTCTTCCGTTAAATATTCGCCAGACTCTGTTTGTAATAGCCCTCTCAGCATCGTACGGTTGTCTGTTTAAAAACTACTTGATTTGGGTCACTGGAAACGATATTCTTGGATAGCCCTGTATAGGCCGGGGTTTAAGTTTGTAAGATGGCAGAGCAAGTTTCGGAGACGCAATATACACCCGTGACAGACAAAACAAACACGACAAGGGTTCAAATAAAATCACAGTCCACGATTCTCTAAGAAACGTCTTCATTGCCAATCCCCCTCCCCTCCCCTCGCCTCCAAACCCCTCTCCCCTAAACCCCCACCCACTACCGTCGTCACTTCAACAGATCTAAAGAAACGAAGATAATATTTCACTGACAAAAACTCATTATCTGTGACGTTATGTAAGACTCAGAAATGCGCTTGTCAGTCGTGATAAGTGTTCATAATACGTGTCTTCCCGTATTCTCACGGCAAATAATTACTCAGGCAGACTAGCTAATTGCTCATGTCTCCTATCCCGACTGTATATAATCATATTTCCAACTTCGCATAAATCTTGTGCAAGTCTTTAATCTACCTGTATTTCAAATGATTTTTTTCAAAGGTCGCCTTTGATATATTGTTTGACTTTTGTCAATCTGGTGTTCAAATTAAAGAGAACCCCTCTCTCGCAGCGTTGATTAAATTACTTTTAATCACACCTATATTTCCTTACACGCAAAGCGTTTATGGTTGTGGTGATGAGTGATGTTGGTTGACGATCTAAGCTGCAGGATAGAGCGATTTAAGGGCTACTATTAGTCTATTAGACTGTCGCACAGTCCCTGAACCATTATATTCCCCTACCGCCCACAGCCCTTAATTCAATGCTGAAGCAAGTCTACATTTTCCGGGGGGCCACGGGTGGCCCAGTCGTCTAAGGCGCCGCGATTCGCTGTGCAGAGTTGCGTCCCTTGGACACGCCAGAAACCTATGATTGTGGGTTCGAATCCCGGTTCGAATCCCGGTTCGCCCCGATTATGTTTCTAGGTTTGTCAGCACCATACCCGTGCTCGTGGGTTTCACCGAAGTGGTAAACGTCTGAAACCTGCATCACTTCGGGCTTTCCTCCCACATTAAGCTGACACGCCGTGATATAACTGGAATAATGTTAAAAGCGGCGTTAAACCCAACTCACTCACTCACTCACTCACTACATTTTCCGTAAATTCAGAATCTCCATTCTCACTGGGGCTCCTTTTCAGTTCAAATGTATTAATTTTGCTCTTTTCTATCAACATCATATATTTCCAGAGACTAAGCTTCTTTCGTTAGCCTGACTAGTTACAAGCATATGATTGGTTTGGTTGGTTTGTTGTTTTACGCCGCACTTAGCAATATTCCAGCTATATGACGGCGGTCTGTAAATAATCGAGTCTGGACCAGACAATCCAGTGATTGATATCATGAGCATCGACCCACGCAATTGGGATCGATGACATCCATCAACAAAGACAGGGAGCCTGACCACACGATCCAGTTAGTCGCCTTTTACGACAAGCCGAGTCGCCTTTTACGGCAAGCATGGGTTGCTGAAGACCTATTCTACCCCGAATCTTCACGGGTCTACAAGCATATGAAACATTTCCAACGCAGACTTCAGTCAAAATTCAGGTGCATGGGTGAGCGTTCGCCTGTGTAAAAATAATTAATATTAAACGAATAACTGCCTCACGCCTGTTTAAAGTGAAATACAGTATAACACCGATCTTAATATTTTATGTGGAAAACGGACTTGCTTGAACAGTTTTTTTAAGTCAGCCAGTAGATGCTTCGACAAAATCGCTTAAGACGAGAGGGTATGTGATTCATTCATTTACAAGCTTATTTTGAGCTCACGCGTTTCGAGAGAACCGTATTCAAGTTTGCGGAAGTTTGAGTTGTGTTTAGCTCCGTTTTCAAAAGTATTCAAGTTGTGTCCAGGTTTAAGACAGACGTTGTATTTCAACGTCATAGACTGCGTTGTCCTCCATGGTGGGTAGAGAATCGGACGTGATTTGTTTGTTTGTTTGTTTAACGCCGCAATATTCCAGTTTTATGGCGGCGATTGTACATAATCGAGTATGTATGAGCATCAATCCACGCAATTGGGATCGATGACATGCATCAATCAAGTCAGCGAACCTGACCACCCGATCCCGTTAGTTTCCTCTCACGACAAGCATAGTCGCCTTTTACGGCAAGCATGGGTTGCTGAAGACCTATTCTATCCCGGATCTTCACGGGTTCGCGATGATTAAAGATCTTAACACGTAGGCTATCCATATATTAATAATAATAATGGGAACTTGTATACGCATCATGATCTCGTTATATATGCTTTGTTTGTTTGTTGTTTAAAGACACACCCAGCAGTATCCCAGCTATATGATGGCGGTCTGTAAATAATCGAGTCGAGACCAGACAATCCAGTGATTGACATCATGAACATTGTTCTACTCAATTGGTTATACGATGACATGCACCAACCAAGTTAGCGAGCTTGACCACCCGATCGTGTTAGTCGCCTGTTGCGACATGCATGGGTTGCATTATATATGAGGAAACAAGAAACGGATCAACGCGTATTTGTTTAAAACAGAGAGGTCGAGAACTGTTGTCCACACGTCCGCCATGTTTATTCATCTCTGGAGTGGTCTCGTTTCTTACGAGAATCAACGAGATAACGTATTACATTAGTTTGATCTTTTTCATGATAATTGTATGGTTCAATACATAATGATCGTTCTTTCTAAGTAAAAACAGTATTTCCACCTTACCAATACATCACACTGAAACAATAATCTCCTTGTCTTCTAAATGATTACATCAACGGTCATATCATGTTTACTTTGAAATGTTATATCATCGTCTAAGTAGATGGAGCGGGTAGTTGGTAATTGCACCATGACCACATCAGACGGTGTAATTACATTTAGTAGTAGTGATCAGCTTTGTAATATTACCTAACACACCGGAAAGACTGCGTAATTAGCGGCACAGTTCGGTCTTACCATGCACTGGCGGTAGTGCTGTTGTTAAGCTCACCCGCCATGTTATGCATTAACGGTAGTGCTTTAGTCGAGCTGCCTCGCCATGTAATGCATAAACGGCAGTGTTTTAGTCGAGCTGCCTCGCCATGTAATGCATTAACGGTAGTGCTGTAGTCGAGCTGCCCCACCATTTGATGCATTAACGGTAGTGCTGTAGTCGAGTTGTCCTGCCATGTGACGCATTAACGGTAGTGCTGTAGTCGAGCTGCCCCACCATTTGATGCATTAACGGTAGTGCTGTAGTCGAGTTGTCCTGCCATGTGACGCATTAACGGTAGTGCTGTAGTCGAGCTGCCCCACCATTTTATGCATTAAAAGTAGTGCTGTAGTCGAGCTGCCCCACTATTTGATGCATTAACAATGACTATCAATTTTGCTAGACGAGGTATCTACCTTGACCTTTTGTCAATGTCTGTGCTTGACTTATGTCTCGATATGAAACTCACAGGAATTGTATATTTGATGGTGATGTGAGTGAATGAGTAAGTATGGTTTTATGATGCATTCAGCAACATTCCAGCAATATCGCGGCGCGGGACACCAGAAATGGGCTCCACACATTGTACCCATGTCAAGAATCGAACCCGGGCCTTCGGCGTGACGAGTGAACGCTTTAACCACTAGGCTACGCCACCGCCCCTGATACTGATGTATTTGTTTCGGGCATCATAGCTTGCATCGTTCCGGCGACTGTTTCAGCCAAGTAACGTTTTGATAACGTTAGTAATATTTTGCTCAAACCCAATAATCAAGTTAATTTTTCTTTTGCCCGACAGTTTATAACACAACGGCATCCCTGGCAATCAAACGAGACCTGGAGCTAAGACAAAATACAACATATCTTCATGGTTATCTCGCAGCCACAGTGTTGTTTAATTCCCTTACCATGCCATCTTCCCGAGGCAAGGGAGTTAACTGACTGTAAAAGTCTAGCTTCAACCCTTGCCGAACTAGGCTGCAATTTCGTGGTTCGTGGCGATGACGGGTTATGTCCCTTCTATGCCCCCCCTATTGGCAATCAAACTCCACCCCTGTATATCACTTGCATTTGATTTAAACAATATGGCGTCGCTCAGTCAAGACAATCTGATCGGTAATCAAGATATTTATTGTAATAAAATGGGTCTTACCTCGCTAAGTGCATCATATCACTTGAGCACCTTAATTAATAACCTGCCGTTCGGATACGATAACATCAACTAAGTCAGCGAGCCTGACCACCCTATCCCGTTAGTCGCCTCTTACGACAAGCATAGTCGCCTTTTACGGCAAGCATGGGTTCCTGAAGACCTATTCTACCCCGGATCTTCACGGGAATCATAGACTAATGCTTAGACTTTGAAAATATATAATGTTGATAGAAACAAGCAACATTTAAATTGAAAAGGAGCCTCATTGAGACGGGACATTCAGACCCTGTGGAAAATCTAGACTTGCTTCATTTGGAGTTATAGCATTTCCGTAAGGGCTGGCGGAAAAAGAAAATAATATGAGTTAAGGACTGTGGGACAGAATAACAACCGCTCAGATCAACACGTTGTATCCATACGGAAAATGTGAACCCGGGCCTTCAGCGTTGCAAACAAGCACCTTACCCACG